GTATTTAAAAAGACAAAACAAAACAAAACTGTGTGTCCCAATTATCCATTTTCAAAGATTTGTTAGGCCTTTGTTCCATTTTTTGTTTATTTTATGTTGTAAAACTAACTATTCCTGCACATTTCCTTGGCCATATAGGAGATGTAAAATGTTATGTGAAATGTCAAACAGGAAGGACTATAAAAGAAGAAAAACAAAGGGCAGGTTTAACCAGAATTCATGCTGCTTTCTGAATTCCTTTATTAGTAGCTTATAGATCTTGTTACTACTTGTGATTTTATACTGATCTACCTTGGACAAGGCAAAGAAATATTTTTATTTCCAGAGAAACCTTAGATACCTTTGCAGTCAACCTCCTCCTTAAATTTGTATTCTATTATGCATTAAAAAACACACAAACAAGGGACTTCCCTGGTGGCGCAGTGGTTAAGAATCCGCCTGCCAATGCAGGGGACACGGCTTCGAGCCCTGGTCCGGGAAGATCCTACATGCTGGAGAGCAACTAAGCCCATGCACCACAACTACTGAGCCTGTGGAGCCCGTGAGCCACAACTACTGAAGGCCGTGCGCCACAACTACTAAAGCCCGTGCACTTAGAGCCCATGCTCCGCAACAAGAGAAGCCACTGCAGTGAGAAGCCCGCTCACCGCAACAAAGAGTAGCCTCTGCTCGCTGCAACTAGAGAAAGCCAGCAAGCAGCAATGAAGACCCAACGCAGCCAAATACATACATACGTACATAAAATAAAAAAAAAATACACAACCAGGCAGATATTTGTTTTCAATGATATTATAAAAATCTATGGCATTGATTTTTCATTGTAAATACCAATTTTTCATATCAGAGAGTCTCTTTTGGTGACTGTTTAACTCCTGGTTACTGATAAAGAAAAGATAACTAATATGTAATTATAATATTTAATGAACTTTTGAGTACACACCCTCCTTGATAGTTGTTCCACCCTCACTCCATTCAGTCCGAAACTCACTAGACTAATTGGAGAAATCTTCTTTTTGGCCTTACCCTGTGGCTTCTGGTATATGACCAAGGAATTCCCAAGAGAAATATTTAGAAGGAAAAATGATCAGACTTGATTGTTGATTCAAGAAGGATGAAGTAGAGGAAGGAATCTAGAATGATATTCAAGAATTCAGGGCTGGGGAATTTCCTGGAGGTCCAGTGGTTCGGACTTAGCACCTTCACTGCCACGGCCTGGGTTCAGACCCTGGTCAGGGAACTAAGATCCGACAAGCCGTGCAGCATGGCCAAAAAAAAAGAAATTCAGGGCTGAAGACGTAAACTTAAGATTATGCAGGAAGTTAAAAAAATTAATTATGCAGGCAGTAGTTAAAGTCAGAGTGGTTGAGCTCTCCCAAGAAGAGCCTGTAGAGAGAACCGAGCGTGGGGTCAAAATGCTAATGTTTGATGAGAGGTGGAGGAAGAAATGCCTTAGAGAAGCACTGAAGAGTAGTTCAGAGAAGGTGAACGAAAAACCAGAAGAGTTTTAGTAGTGCAAGCTCCGTAAAGATGTATATATGTTTTGATTATGAGTGATGAACACAGTGACCACTTAGTAAGTGCTCAACAAATATCAATATTTTCTGAATGAATGAGTAAGCTGTCAATTCTGCCAAGCACAGGAGAAATAAGAACAGAGACATACTCATGAAATTTGGTATTATGGGGGTCATTGTAACTTTTACAAGAACAATTACAAAAGGTAGGAGATTGAAGAAGTGAGAGAGTGTAGAAAAGGAGTAAGACTCTTCTTTTAAAAGGTTTAATTAAAGGGAAATAAAGGGGGTGGTCACCGGAGAGGGACACAGGGTAAAAGCAGTGATTTTTTTTTTTTAATTTATTTTTGGTTGCGTTGGGTCTTTGTTGTGGTGCGCCGGTTTCTCATTGTGGTGGCTTCTCTTGTTGTGGAGCACAGGCTCTAGGCGCACAGGCTCAGTAGTTGTGCCTCGTGGCTCTAGAGCGCAGGCTCAGTAGTTGTGGCACATGGGCATAGTTGCTCCATGGCATGTGGGATCTTCCCGGACCAGGGCTCGAACCCGTGTCCCCTGCATTGGCAGGCGGATTCTTAACCACTGCGCCACCAGAGAAGCGCAAAAGCAGTGATTTTTAAACATTATATTTTTTCCTATGGTTGATAAAGAATCAAGCATGTTAATAAACTAAGGTAGACAAATCACATAGAGAAGGAAAGGTCAAAAGTATAAGAAGAAGAAAAAAAAAGTATAAGAAGAAAGGGGCTAATTGATGGAATAAAGTCTAGAAATATAGCAAAGATGATGGGATCAGAAACACAAGAAGAGGAATTGGCCTTGAAAGCCTCTTTCTCAGACTGGAGGGAAGTAAACAAGGGTGGATGAAGATACTGTTTTGTTGGTGGGAACAGGAAATAAAAGTGACTGAAATGTTGGTCATCTCAATTGAAGGTGGGATGCCAGCTACTCTGAAGAAGATGTAGTGGAGGTTGGAGCAGTAATCTCAGGATGAGAGGACAAGTAAAAAGATTACCAGGCGACATTGAAAAAACCCAGCTAAATGTACTTAGGGTCCATGAATTTATGTGTTCATTGTGGTTCTTTCTTCTTATAGGCTTATATTTTATGGGTCAAAACTATGTTAATAAAAAAGTAGTCATTTTTACCACCTGAGAAGTAAATAGTAATGACTATCAGATGAAATATGGTAATAAGATATTCAAGTTTTTACTCAGGGAACAGCATAATAGAAACTCTTAATATTTAACTATGAAGGGAATTCCCTGGTGGTCCACTGGTTAGGACTCCACACTTTCACTGCCAAGGGCACGGGTTCAATCCATGGTTGGGGAACTAAGGTCCCACAAGCTGCACAGTGTGGCCAAGAAAACCCAAACAAACAAAAAAAACCAATGAAAACATTCTGTTTTGTGTTGCCATATTTATTGAATAGTCATTGCTTTTTTGTTAACTTTGTTCATTAAAAAAACAATGTAATAACTACTTCTAAAAAGCCAAAATGGATAATTTGCTTTGCTTTTTCTGAGTAAAATGAAAGCTAATTTTATCCTGTGAAAGGATTTTTCTTCCATAAAAAGTGCCATATAAATTCTAAATACTAGTTATGAAAATTACATAATGAATCTAATAAGAGGTAGAACCTATATTATCAACTGCTTCTGCATCTAGTTTAGATATCTACAAATATCCCGTTGATTTTAACGGAATAATGTAGTTGTTCATTTTGAGGTCTTATTAAGACTTATTATAAATTCTGCGTTGCTCTGATTTTAGGTTACTTTAATTTAAATGTTAGGAGATTATATAGCATTGAATTAAATCTTCTCTGTAAAATTCCAACTCCATAACCTTTTACTCTTATTTTCTAGAACCTAGTCAAAATAACTAAGGAACCAGTTGCCATAATTAGTGACACTATATTAATTAGTGACACTATATTCATGGTGCAGTGGTTCGTATATTTTGCTGGTCCTGTTATACATTTTAGCCAAACTAGTAGAAATCTTGAATTTACATTTTACACTTTCTCTGACTGCTTATGTTTAAAGTCCACAGAACCATGAAGAAAAGTGAATTACCTCTGGATATAATTCTAGACCTATGCCCCTGAATTGACTTTTTACTTTGCTATATAGTTTTCTATACATCCATAATATTTTGGATATTATTTGAACCTTCTCTCCCAGGAGAGAAGAAGGTCTGTTTTGCTTTGGTTTTTAAGAATTCTTAAACACGTCCTTCCCCTCCATGGTTTATTTGAATCAGAATCCAAGTAAGAGCCATATATTGCAATAGATTTGTATCACTTAAGTGTCTTTTAAGATCACTATATACATATATATAATATATATATTGTATATGTATTATATATAAAATATATATATATATATATATATATATATATATTGTTTTTTGCCTCACTGCACAACATGTGGGATCTTAGTTCCCCGACCAGGGATCAAACCTGTCCCCCCTGCAGTGGAAGCACAGAGTCCTAACCACTGGACCGCCAGGGAATTCCCTAAGACCACAATATATATTTTTTAAATTTATTTATTTGGTCGTGTCGGGTCTTACTTGCAGCACGTGGGCTCCATAGTTGTGGCTCCAGGGCTCCTTAGCTGTGTCTCACTGGCGCCTTAGTTGCGGCATGCAAACTTTTAGTTGCGGCATGCGTGTGGGATCTAGTTCCCTGACCAGGGATTGAACCCAGGCGCCCTGCATTGAGAGCGTGGAGTCTTATCCACTGTGCCACCAGGGAAGTCCCAAGACCACAGTATTTTAATCTCTCTTGTTTGTTTATTGAAGAAACCAGGTTGTTTATCCTGTAGATAAATAGATTTTGCTGATTGGACTGGTCTGATCAGATTTACACCTGATTTTTTTGGGGGGTGGAGGCAAGAATACTTGTTAGGTGGTGTTGTACAGCTCAAAATTCTTAATTATATCTCCTGTTAAATTGTATGGGAAAAGTAACAAATTTTTTAATAGAAGTGTTTCTTATAATGGGACTTAGAAAAAAAATATATTTATGTGTAGAGTAAAGACTGTTTCACAACCACTCTGAATGGCCTGTATTCTATGGCCTGAATTCTTGGGAGTAAAAACCTGTATTCTAGTGACAATGCAAAATCAAATGTTTGCTTGAAACCACAAAGACTTTTGACTTTTCTGATGATTGTGTTGATACTTGGAGTTAATTGTTAACTCTTATGAAGAAGTCCGGAACATGGTAAAGAATGACATGCATTAAATTAATCTGCTGCTTTAATTGTGGCAAGTTCAGGTTTGCTTTATTTGTTACATAATGTACACCTGATGGCCTTCGGTACCAGTATAATCTTTGATTTTTCTACAGAGGTGTTATTTGAGAGCAAATCTAGACCTTTAAATTACACATGACCTTCCCCTTAATGAATGTAAGTCATATGGGTTATCTCATATGACTGGTAAAATGTATGTACAACTTCTTTTCTTTTTTCTTTTTAGCCAGGACTAAAAGAAGTGGTAGAATCCTGTCGAGGAAAAAATCTATTTTTTTCTACCAATATTGATGATGCCATTAAAGAAGCTGATCTTGTATTTATTTCTGTAAGTATTTTCCTTTGCTGTGTGAGTTTTTATGTATTCTTGTCTATATAGAAGTTTCATTGTATGTTAATAGTAAAGCCATTGGTATTAAGCCACTGCATTACTTAGTATAGAGTTGTCCAATTGAATTTTGATTATCACTAACTTTATCCAACACTTCACCAAACTCTATAATCATCTGATCATTTCAGATCATTGAACAAATAAGTTCAGAGAAAGTTTCTAATATGAGATCTAGAATTAGGAAGTGCTGGTAACATGTGAGCACGTGTGAGCACATATGGTGATAGTATATGTATTTCATCATTTCTTGTTTCCACTGCGTGGTGGAAGTGAGATAAAAAGAATCAGGTAAAATTTGCTGCAAACTTACAGGCATCTCCTATTTAGATGAGTTTATGTTCCAAAAGTGATTTTAAATTTATTATTTAGAACTTGGCATATGTTTGTTAGGTTATTAGGCTAGTCCACAGACACCTTCAGCTCATAATAGGGCTTAACTCTTTTACCTTTGTAATGAAACAAGTAGAATGAATGCTTGGGAATACACTCTGATAATTCAATATTTGAACCAAGGTAACTTGTTTCTTGCTGTCCTGGTAACCATTTACTCAAATATTCTGTGTGTGATGGTATAGTTATCACCAATTGGTGGCTGAGCTAAGGTGTTATATGACTCAAGACCTGTACAGCCTTAAGGAATAAAGGGAAAGCCAGTGATGTGAGCTTTGACTGGGTTCCATGAGATAAACACCATGGGGTCCATAGAGCAGAGATGATGTTGAATTGATTGTGTGTTGAGACAAAAGCAGTACTGTGAAGAAATAGGAACTCCAGAAGAAAGTAGTAATGCAACCCTTGGTAGAACTGTGTTATGAATTCAGTCTCTCTTTTTAAAAATTACTTCAGAGAAAATTGGTGCCACTTCTGTGACTCATCTACCCAATCTTCTACTTAAGCTTGCAGGAGGTTAGGGTAGAGGCATAGAAAAGGAGAAATTATTTTGGAGTAGCTAGATGCTTGGAGAAAATCAAGATGTTACCTTAGTCCAACATTTGGATAACCATAGCCTGGAATAGGAATAGGGGACTTTTCTATATGAAAAAAAAATTTTTTAAGTATCTATTCTTAAGGCCATAGAGTTCACCTTAGTGTGGTCTGGCACAGATAGCTGATTTTACGCTTGCTTCTCTGCCGATCTAGCCTGAACTGCCTTAAATCTTTCCAAGCTATTACTTTGTGTGCCTGTTAGGGTAATTTATTGTAGTATAACTCCTACCTAGTTCCCATTATTCTCTGCATCAGTTTTTTTTTTTTTTTTTTTAATGTGCTTGTTGTATACTTTTCATTGTGGAAAACACCAAACTTATACAAAAAATGAAACCAACAATATAGTGAACCCCATTGTCAACAGTTTTCATGGCTGATCTTGACTTATTTACTACTTCTCTCCCTTTCCTCCCACCCCAGATTACCCAAATTATTTTTAGGCAAATTCCAGGCAGAAATAGTTTTATACTATTGAATCAGTTTTCAACTGTTATCTTCAGAGCTCCTTTCCCAGGGAAGCCATCTGATCATCCCCATCTCTGGCATGTTTCACATTATCCCATTCACCATTTTTGCCCTTCTGTGTTCCACTGCACCCTTACTTCCACGTCTAGGTCTTTTCCTAAGTTGTTCCGTATGCATATAAACCAGTTTTTCCTCCTGCTTTTTACACCTCAACCCAATCTTCACGTTTGATTTATTTGGGCTTGATTCCTTTATTTAGTCTCCCATTAAGTTATAAGCTTGTCAAGAGAAGACAGTTGGTGCTACTTACTGGTTCAAAAATTATTCCTACGTAGAATTTTAGACTTTTCAGAGTACTTTCATTTTTACGAGAGTGTTATAAAGCTTGTGTGTTAGATTTTAGAGTGTGTTATTCTCATTTTCCAATGAGGTCATTGAGACAAAGGCAGCCACACTTCTCCAAGTTTACATGATACAGCTAAGCCAAAACTAAATGCCTAGACTCTGGACTCATGATTTATTTTTCTTTCTATACGGTAGTCTTTGTCCACATAGTATTCTGTATCCTGAAGGCGCTAGATAATTTCTAGCTCTAATGAGCCAAGAAAGCATTTGTGAATGATACTGCAGACATTTTAAAAAACCTATATATATAGGCCTATAAAAAAGGAGAATAAAAAGGAGTTTAAAGTTTAGTTTTAAAGACCAGGATAATATATTACATACCATCAAGAGAGGAAGAAAGAGAAAACTTACATTTCATTTCAGACTGTGAACTCCTTTTGGAGTCTCTTTCATCTTTATATCTGCAGGCTTAGCTTGGAACCTGCCTGCCCTGATTCTGGCACGTATATAGTAGCTTCTCAACAGAAATGTACTGAATGAGTTCTCATAAAATATTCTTTCCATGGAACTAATAGAGGGTAAAACCAGGGCTCCTAATGATGTTAACTTCCCAGTTGACTAGTCAGTTGATGGTCCAGGGCAGATCTTGAAATCTCATACTCTGTGAATATCTCATACTCTGTTCTTAATCCCGTATACTTTCATCAGGTGAACACTCCAACCAAGACCTACGGAATGGGGAAAGGCCGCGCAGCAGATCTGAAGTACATTGAAGCTTGTGCTAGACGCATTGTGCAAAACTCATACGGGTACAAAATTGTGACTGAGAAAAGCACAGTCCCAGTGCGGGCAGCAGAGAGTATTCGTCGAATATTTGATGCAAACACAAAACCTAACTTGAATTTACAGGTATAAAAAAAGGAAGCATTAGAATCTGGCTCTTCTTATGTAGGTATCGATGCTTTAAAGTTGTCCGTAATTAATTCTAGCTTAAAACTTTCCTTTGCGTTGGGAGTCTAGGTGCTGTCCAACCCTGAGTTCTTGGCAGAAGGAACGGCTATCAAGGACCTGAAGAACCCAGACAGAGTACTGATTGGAGGGGATGAAACTCCAGAGGGTCAGAGAGCTGTGCGGGCACTGTGTGCTGTGTATGAGCACTGGGTTCCCAGAGAAAAGATCCTCACTACTAATACTTGGTCTTCAGAACTTTCCAAACTGGTTGGTACACAGCACTCAACTCTCTATTAAATTTAAAGCCAAGAACTTATTTCTGTTAACCCTGATAAGCTACACAGGTACTTTCTTAATATTAATAAAAAGATATGCTTTTGAAGATAATATTCTTGTATATTATGAAATAATATTCACAAGGGGATCAAATATTTGGGTATAAAATATTCTGGAATATGTAAAAGAAAATAGTAATTACATTATTATTAATGTAATTAATTAAAATAGTAATTTAAAAAAATCACTCTTTC